AAAAAAAAAAAAAAAAAAAAAAAAAAAAAATTAAATAAATAAATAAATAAAATTATTTTTAAAAAAAGGGTCCACCCCTATTAGGTCCCCGAGGCAAGGAGGTGGGCCTTGCGCAGTGAAGAGGGTACAGTGTCCAACATCTCTTATCCAGGGCAGGCTACTATTGGAGGATGCTTTGAGTCAGCAAAGCATCAACAGAGCTGACAGGGTCTACCGCCACCTGCTGGCAGCTTCCAATGATTTCTATAGGAGGATGCTTTGAGATTTGACGGGTTATAGTCACCAAGGCGCAATTATACCAGAGGGGTTTTAAGCCCTCAGGACGCTTGCAGGCTTGCTAACCTGAGGCCAGCTTTCTACAAGAGCTGGATGCAAGGTACTGCAACTCCTTTTCAGGAGGAGTGACTCTTGCTCCAAGCCTGCCATATAGAGGATATCTTTACGATACTGAATGCTGCTCCTGGGCCGCAAATTCTTGTCCTGGTATAGCTGTTTTTCCCTTAAATCATGCTCTGCATGGTGTCTGCCCTAGATATTCTTCCGACTATAAGGAAGATAAGATTATATATATATAGCTGCTTATTCCTTAATTCATGCTCTGTACCGTGTCTGCTCTAGGCATTCCTCCAACTATGAACTAAGATATATATATAGGGAAATAATTGAGTAGTGACACTGTAAGACATTTTTCAGGCACTAATTGTGCCGGGGATCTGCTTAGCTCTCCTTCCTTGCTGCCCAGATGGGGAGTTACTCACAGAAAAAAAAAAAATTAGCTGGGCATGGTGGCATGCATCTGTAGTCCCAGCTGCCTGGGAAGCTGAGGTAGGAAGATTGCTACAGCCTGGGAGGATGAGGCTGCAGTCAGCTGATCATGCCATTGCGCTCCAGCCTGGGCAACAGAGCGAGACTTTAATCCCAGCACTTTAGGAGGCTAAGGTAGGTGGATCACTTGAGGTCAGGAGACCAGCCTGGCCACCATGGTGAAACCCTGTCTCTCTGCAAAAATTAGTTGAGCATGGTGGCACACACCGGTAATTCTAGCTTCCCAGGAGGAGGAGGTTGCAGTGAGGAGAGATTGCACCACTGCACTCCAGCCTGGGTGACAGCATGAGACTCTATCTCAAAAAAAAGAAACAAACTCCAAAACCCAAATAGTATCTTCTAGTGTTGTGGAATAAACAACCTGTACAACTGTACCAGGCAGCCTAAGGGAAGAGGCAGCATGAGTAATAATCTCCCTCCCTTTTTGGGAGAATGCATTATATTCCACAGATCACCCTGGTAGACTTCTGCCTACTTCTCAGTGGCCAGAGCTTGGTCCCATGGCCACTCCTAGTTGCAGGGTGGTTTGGGAAAGCATGTGCTTAGATTTTTCAACCTCTATAGAGGGGTACAGGCAGAGAGGAGGGGACTGGGAATAACTGGTAGGTTTTAGCCAACCTGTAGTGACTGCTGTAAGCATCAAAATGGGATATTGATTCAGTCAGGGCATTCATGCATGCAAGTGATAGAATCCCAACTTAAACAGGCTTAAGTGGGAAGAAAAGAAGAATTTGTTCTATTAAGGAGAAAATTGCAGAAGTGCTTCAGGTCTGGCTGCATCCAGGACCTCAGTGATGTCATTAGGGATCTGTCTCTTTCTGTCTCTCAGCTGTTCTTCCTCCATCTTAGAGTCCTTGGCAGGTCCCTCTCATGCCTGTGTATAACTCCAGGCTTATATCCTACCTGCCTGGCACCTCTCCCCAACTCCCAAAGCTTCTTTTAGGTACTCTTACCTAATACCTTTAGTTAAATTAATGGGTCTATCTCTCATTGGTCTGGTTTTGGTCATTTGCTCCTTTCTGACCAATCAGCTTTGGCCAGAGGGATGCACTGCTCTGATTGGCCAGGTCTGGGGCACGTGATTAATTACTGCTGAGCTAAGATAGTGGGCTCTGCCCTGCCCATTGCCAGTTACTAAGATGAGGGTCCTCTCTTGAGGGAAACTTGGGGGCTGTTAATAGAAGAGGGGCCAGGATTACTAGATGGGCAAAACAACAGGTGTCCACTACAAGATTACAGTCTATCAAACTCTCCTCAAGGAAGCTTCTCTGACCCAAGACCCCATCAACTCTCCCTGAGGTCTAAGGGTCTCCCTTAAAAATTTTTTTTCAGGCCGGGCACAGTGGCTCATGCCTGTAATCCCAGCACTTTGGGAGGCCAAGGAGGGCAGATCATTAGGTCAAGAGTTCGAGACCATCCTGACCAACATGATGAAACCCTGTCTCTACTAAAAATACAGATAATTGGCCGGGCGCGGTGGCTCAAGCCTGTAATCCCAGCACTTTGGGAGGCCGAGGCGGGTGGATCACGAGGTCAAGAGATCGAGACCATCCTGGTCAACATGGTGAAACCCCGTCTCT